GAGGTGGATGTGCACCAACTGACAGCTGCTCCCATACATCACCGGACGACACATGTTTTTAATGTGGGACTCACTAATCTGAAGAGATGGAGCACACTGCACTGGCCCCACAGCAGCCAGGCCACTGGCATGATGTGGCACCAACAGCAAAGCACCTTCCCCAAGTCAAAATGACCTGCAAAAACAGTATAATGACCTATAATAACAGTGAGGTATGAGATGAACTTTTACTATTTCACAAATAAACAGTGAGTGGCAAAATAAGGCCTTCTGAAAACAAAACCAGAGCAGTAGACCAAAGAGTGGGACACTCTTAAAATGGTCACAGAGCGAAGCAGGTGAGTTTGTGATCAGACTGGTAATGAGACTCTGAATGGATTACAGGAAGAAGAAGGTGACAGTGTTCCTGCTTCAACTGTGCTCACAGAAAACCACAAGAGGGGAGCTCCAACTAAAGGTCTGTGCTGGTGATGTTTCAGAAAAACATATTTTTTTGTAAAACTGTTTTTTAAAGTCAATATTGAAATTTGTAATTTTGAGCTTTATGGCACTGCAATACTATAATATTAAACCACAGACAGACAGCAATGTTTACCTTGGTTCCTTATTCACAAACCAGTCATTGCTAACGCATGGGAGCTTGAAAATAGACAGACAGATAGACAGAAGGAGAGATGGACTGATAGATAGATGGATAGATAGACAGATTGATACTTTATTGATCCCGAAGGAAACGGGAAGTTCAGCAGCAGCAACAAGGCATTTAAAGTTAGCAGTCCATATGATAGTGTTGCTTTTGAACCCAAAACATAAGGCTTACTTTATGGCTCCAGTGTTTGAGTAATGCACATATTTTTATTTTACATGTACTGAAAATCGTGTTTCTAGGTGAAGTCTTGCAGCCTGCTCCCACAAGCCTGTATACAAGCCTGCACTACTTATGTGGGCTGTTTGTGAATGCCACAGCCCGTGATGGGAAGCAGTCCATCTCCATTTATTTGCGTGTGTGTCTGAAGCGTGGCACGCTGCACGTTTCCATTGCAGCTGCACGACCACAGATGATTTAAAGAGTGCGCGCTCTGCAGGTGCACGTGTCCAGGGCTATGTGTGAGGAGGTGCTGGGGTCATTAGTACACTGATGGTATCTCTGACTGTATGGTCCAAGGTGTTAGATGCAGTTTCCACATGAGGGCACAAGACTAGTGTACATTATGGAGAGAGAATCAATCGGAGGCTATTGGACTGCAGGCCGCATTATCTACACCCACTGAATACATGTGTAGCTTAAATAGGACGCATTAAGATCACGATATGGAACTGTGCTGGCGGCTTGTGTTGTTACAACCTACAGTCACATGGGATTTACATTTCTGAACCTGAATTTGCCTTTATACATTGTAAATGCATAGAGTGCATAGTGATGGTGATTGGTGAATATGTTTCCTTGAAGTGTAAATGATATACACAAAAAATAAAATCAATGTATAAGTAATTGATTTAGTTCTTTATTAAAGTTCCTATATTACACTAAATTGACTACCGTGAGCCTTAAGCTAGGGTGACCATATTTCTGTTTGTGAAAACCCGGACACCTTACGGGGGGTGGGAGGTGGGGCCTCGACATTGAGCTACTCTCACCTTGCCACCTGTGCACATGGCCTCCCACTTGTCCCGACCGAGACGGAAACCAGATAATTTCTTGTCCAAGTCATTGTTAAATGTACATTTGCGCTTCGGCATGTTGCAAACTGACCGACTGTTTGTGTCTGCTCGCTCCTTCAGAGTGCACAGAGAGCTACGAGAGGTGCTCAATTCAATGTCCCCAATGAACGGTAATGAAAACCCGGACATTTCCATAACTTTAAAAAAAAGTCCTGTCCTGGGCGTCCTGTCCTGTCCTGTCCTGCCCCAGGACAGGACGCAAAATACGGACATGTCCGGGGAAAAACGGACGTTTGGTCACCCTACTTAAGCCATGTTATAATGTTCTTCCCTCCTCAAAAACAGACCTGGAGTTGAGTTTTTTTTTCATTCACACGTTTGAGAAACAATTCACTATTAGTCCGTCTACATCTCCAAAGCTCAAAATGCTCTGTCCCCCATTGTGATGTCATGAAGTAGTAAATTTCAAGCTAACAGATACCTTTTACCTTTTGTTTAGTAAAGATTGGCAATTCCAGGGTTGAAACCATCCTAATGATTCTAGTGAAGATGTTTGGGGTTGAAAAAACAGAGTCGAGGACTTCCTGCATNGTGTAATAAGATGTTTTACTTGCAAATATTTGCCCCAAACACCTTGTAATATTGAACTTACAATTCACATTTGTATATTTAAAGGAAATTACTTTTTCAGTCTCTGCTCTGGTATCGGTTTAGTATCGGCAGACACTTAAAGCCAAAATATGGACATCTGTATCAGAGCAGAAAAGCAGGATTGGTGCTCATTGATATAGCCGTTACTGTGACAGGCCTACAGCTCCTTGGCCCTCGTAGAATTGTTCTTTATTTCAGAGATTATGTAACTTCACTGCACACCAGATTTTTGGGCGTCTTGGACAGAGCGTGTTCTATTTTCTGTCTTTGCAGCTCAACTCAAAAAGAGTTATATGTATCTGAAGAATGTTTGGAGTGTCAATAGCATTTGCATATCTGCCAAACTCCCCACTTTAATTTTGTGGCTTGGTTGGAATGGACCCAGATCAGTTTTCCTTCAGAGCTCTTTTGTGTTTCTGATCTCGGCCTGTTGTTCTTTAGTCATTCAATGGATTAGTGTCTTTTTGTGCTCGTCTGAATACCACTTTAACTGTACTACTGCACTCCTCTGTTAGAAGCTCTGCTACTCAAGGTAGACTTTAGTATGAGTTTTGTTTTAACACAGTCTGACCAGAAAGAGCTGATTACCTGGAACTACAACAGGTGAGATGATTTGTGCTGATAAACAAATCTCTCACACAGAAAATTATTAACATTAGCCAACAGTTTTTCACTTATTCTTTCCTCGGTAACTCTCACCTTTTTGTTGAAAATCAAACACCAAAACAGAACCATGAACCTGTCTATAAACTGGGGCTGGTTATCAGGTTATATAAGTTGCCAATACGATACATACCTCAATAAACAGGCCACGATACGATACATGTCTCGATACAGCGCACTTTTGATTCGATATGATATATTTCAAATCGATTCGATACAGTTCAATAAAATATAAAGACTAAATCATGGCTGTGACACTGAAAATCTTTCTTAAACCACTTAAGGAGTGTGCATTGTCATAAGTCTGTTTTAGTATTGAGATATACTGGGATATATCGTATCGTATTGTATCACCAAAGGACAATACATTGCGATTTATCAATAATTACTTCTAATAATATAGTCATATACACCTTCAAAAGCATACAATTGTATTACATTAATTTATTTATTTTTAAATCATGAGAACAGTAAATGCAACTCTGAAATTTTTGTGAAAAAATATGATTTGTAGTAGACAAAGCGATATCACTGAATCGATTTTTTTTCTTACACCCAAAGTTAATATGAAACATGCCCATTTTAATAATCAAAACAGTGAGCTCTGTAATAAAATAATTAGTAAAATACACGAAAAAATACTCTTGGCGATATATCGATACAGCAGCCCACAATATCGATACTGTATCATCACATTAAACGATACAATATTTTCAATATTTTTGCACACCCCATAGGCCACGACATGATACATATCTGGGTACAGTGCTTTCAATTGGATAGATTTCACATCAATAAAAAAATAATGGCTAATCATGGCTGATACTAAAAGTCTTTGTTAAACCACTTCTTGTGCAAAGTTCATATGAAAACACGCACATTTTATTCACCAAAACAGTGAAAATGTCAAATGTGTCGCATAAACATGTTTCTTTCCACTAAACAAGCAACAAAACTGTAGTGCTGTAATAAAGTGATTTAGTAAAATATGCCAAAATATACTCTTAGCGATATATCGATACGTGCTGTTGACGCTCTTGGTGGGCTGCTGTAACATCGGCAGAGCTGCATACGACCGTCCTTTTAAAACTATTAAAACTACTACTAAAACAGCAGAACTGCTCCTGTGACGCCAGCCTCTGTGGATTCTCATGTTTAACACTAAACTTTTTACCTTGTTTATGTATTCATTGTTGATTGGATGAATTATTGTTTTCAATCACAATACAAAGGTTGACAACAAGAGAGACGATGCTTTGCAGCGATAACAAGCCGTATCTGCGGTGCTCACATTCTTTCAGCTAATTAACATTTCACTTTGTTTGCACCACGCGCCTTTTCCTTCAGAACTTCTTCTTGTAAAGTTTCTGTCTGATGTCATAGTGTTTTATATTTATCCTCCACGGCTGTAAACTTTCCGTAGTTCATCACGAGTCATTCCCCGAGCTCCCGATGCGACACACGGTGTTTACACAACTGTAGAGAACTTTAAGAGAATGTATTTTGAAAGGGTATAGGAAGTTTATTTTGACATTTATTTATATATTTATTTATTGTACCCATTTCCTGTCTTTCCCCTGCTAAAAAGCCTGGAGATGCTCTATTGATGCTGCAAAATTAGAACTCCACGAGGTTATTGATATTTCAGTATTTTTGCACACCCCTACTGTATATAGTCATTTTACATGAGACTCCCATCACTTTATGATGTTATGCGGTGCTAGTGTTCAAGTTGACAGCTTCTTTTTAGATTTAGTTTCACAGAAATTGGAGAATTCCAGGGCTAAAATGATCTAAATAATTCTAGTGAAGGTGTATGAAGTTAAAAACACAGTGGAGCACTTCCTGTATTAACCCATGATATCACAAGGTGGAACAGAATTTAAATATGTAGGGTTTGTGCGTCAAACATGAGTGAATGGAATAAAATAAAACTCCAGGTCTGTTTTTGATGATGATGATCAGTTGTTGTCAAAACATCTCTGCATCTCTAATATTAAAACCTAATATTTCAATTCTCTCTCTTTGTCCCAGGTTTGCCAGGGTTTTCCAGCATGTTTGGGAAGAAGAAGAAGCGGTTGGAGATCTCGGCGCCGTCAAACTTCGAGCATCGCGTTCACACAGGATTCGACCCCCGGGAGCAGAAGTTCACTGGACTGCCCCAGCAATGGCAGAGCCTGCTGGCCGACACCGCCAACAGACCCAAGCCCATGGTGGACCCCTCCTACATCACCCCCATACAGCTGGCTCCTATGAAGGTACAGGGGCACGGGGGGGGACAAAATACTACATTAGACCAGTTACTCACAAACGTTTAGACCTTTTTATTGATCCACGAGGAAATGATTTAGACACAGTAGCTCACACATTACAATATAGTGTAATAACAAAGAGCAAAAATATAAATGGTTATAAAAAAATCTATATAAGTGCCACAGTTTGAGATATGATTAAAAACAGCATGGTAAGAATCAGACTTCACTCTCCCCAGACGTTTCATATAAGCTGGGAAATAGTAGTAACTTCCAATTTCAGTAAAACAACAAACGCTTTGAAATCAATACAAAAAAACTAGCCACTGAAACTTCCAAATAGCTTTTTCTGGACTATTTGTTCTAAAATCAATACCAATACTATCAATATACAATTTTTTCAGTTACATATTGAGTCTTTTTAAAGATTATTTTGAATATACGAACGTTTGTACTAAGAAATACTATAAAATTAAGAAAAAAGAAAAGAAAACTGTATGTTGAAATGAACTTTTTTGTATAACCTGGCACAAAAATATTCCCTCTTTTTGTGTAGGTCAATGTTTTACGTGAATTGGCCCTGATAAAGAAATAAATGTATAATCAAAATGAGATTACTATTTAAAAAAAAAGAACTAATAATTTTGAATTGTTTTGACTTGTTATTTTTAGAGCTACATAGAGAGAGATATAATAAAAAAGCTCAAATTCCGTTTAAACTTTTGATCAGTGGTTCTAGGGCAGGTCCACTATTAGGCTCACGCTGTTGCAATTTTGCCCCCTACTGGCCAAAAAAACTTCCACCCAATTTAAAGGGCCCATATGACACTATTTTCTGATCTGTGTTAAAATGTTGTTTCCTCGTCACAAACAGACCTGGAGTTGTGTTTTGTTTCACACGTTTAACACAAAAACCTTGCATATTTAGGCCGAGTTCTTCTCTCAAACAGAAAACACACTGTTCCACCTTGTGATGTCATGGTTTTAAACTCCATACAGTTGAAAATTTGCAGCCCTGGACTTGCCGATCTCTACCGAACAAAAGAAAAAAAGGTAGATACTGACTTGAAAACTACTACTTCATGACATCACAAGTTGGAACGGAGCATTTTGAGGTTTGGAGATGTAGACAGACTAATAATAAATCGTCACTCAGACACATTATTCATGTGTGAATGAAATAAAACACAACTCTACACTGCAAATTTCTCTGATCTGGCCAAGATTTTAAAACATATATCAGGTTATTCATCCTGTTTTCAAAGTTATCTACTTATTTATATTTATTTCAGATTTATCTACTCATTTATCTACTTTCTAGTTCTGAGACTGCTTCATTCTCGTCTAGAAGTAGTTTAATTTAAGATAACTTGTAAAAAAAAAAAAAGTAAAATTATCTGTCCATGGAGCAAGAAAATTTCACTACTTTTCATTTTCTGATTTAAGTGTTTAGATTTTAAGATTTTTTGCAGTATAAGCATAAGGAAACAACATTATAACACAACTTAAAGCTTACATGAGGAAATTTTGCATTATATAGAATGTTAAATCTGACTTTTTTTTTTACTCTAAACACACTACTTTGTTGTTGCATGTCTGTATATTTTTCTGTGATGGTTGTGTCTCTTGTGTCAAACCTTCCGAGTGTCTCCTCTGATGTGGTGTTGTTCATTCACTCACGAAAACAATCTTATTATTATTACTATGATTTCAATTCTATATCAGCATGTCATTGTTTTTTCTAGTATTTTATGAATTGGCGAATCAGTTATTTCACATTTCATCTTGTCTGTGGTCCCAAGTGTATCCTGCATGTGCGACCTGAACAATGACGCTCTAACTATGAGCCATTTTACTGTACGACTCTATGGCTCCAACTATAGTCTACTCTTCACTGCAGAAATATACAACTACAATACTTAAAATGACTTGAATTCATGTGTTAATCCTGTTTTGAGTTGTTTAAACATATATATTTTCGGTTAATACTTATTTTCTTTTAAATATTGCAATCTATATTTTAGTTTTAAACAGTTTTCTACCAATTCACTAAGAGAAATTGCACTTATCTATAAATCAAACTACAAAATTTTTTAAAAAGATGCCTAAAAATGTAATGAAAAGAGTAACAAATTAGACTAAATTAGATTAATTTCTTAAATCCTGTTACTAAGGATGTAACGATATCCAAATCTCACTTCACTTCACAATATGCCTCTCACGATACGATAATTATTGCGATATTTTGGAGGGATTAACAGAATTGTACATACGCTATTTTTTCCATTTTAAATACCGTGACCAGGGGCGGTGCTACCATTAGGCAACAGTAGGCGACTGTCCGGGGCCCCCAAACCTGGAGGGGCCCCCAACCGATTGCGCTCAGTGCCACTAATGGCCGAGATGATATTAAATGAAAGTAGTTTACTTTTAAACAAGATAACACCATCAAAATAGTATCTGATTGCCAAATCTATTTTAACTGTCAAAGCATTCCCCCACAAATCTATTAAAATAACTGGATAGGGTGTTGCTGCTTGTAGCTACCTCCAGTTGACATAGTGGTCACTCACTGGTACTACAGCGGAAAAAAAAAACATGGGCTGGGAGAGGAATTTCTCATAGAGTCTGAGAGGGCACCTACAACGTTCAAAAATGTTGGATTTTATGGCGATTTTTACCTATATTTAGATCATAAACTTTTTCTCAGCTCAAAGTCCTTCAGTTGTCTTAAAAAACGCTTTATAATCATTAGCTCCAGCTTCGCTCTAGCTCCTCTTGCTCTGATTGGTCAAAGCAATCACATGATACACGAGCCCGCGACCCGTCCGTGCGTGTGTTTGTGTGCATTTGCGTGTGCCCGCGGGAGAAGAGAACATTACTGCACATGCTCGGTCGGCCCGGCCCACAGCCACCGGAAGTACCTCGCCGGGCTAAAGGCGAATCTGGGATCATGCACCATTGAGCTTAGCCCATTGACTTGAATGGGCAGCAATTTTGAAATCCCGGGGCTTGCGTTCCCCCCTTTCACGTTAGAATGGACGAGTCAGCCTGACCCTGATTTGAACATCATCATAGCATAATCAGAATCATACGTAATGGATGTAAACAAAAATGCAGTTGTACTAGCAAAAATAAATAAATAAATAAATCTACTTTCTGTTCTGGTTATCTAGTACCTAACGTATAAGACAAGTTTCAATCCACTCTAATTCAAATAAACATATACGTGTCTCATTTCTCTTTGGGAAAAACAGACAATAAATATTTAAAAAGTCCAAAAACAACCCCCAACAAAACAGTGCTTTAGCGTGAGGGCCCCAAATTCAAGTTCACCTAGGGCCCCCAAATTGCTGACTCCACCACTGACCACGACCAGTCTTCAGTGTGGATCATTACTGCCATATTCTAAAGAAATCAGATTTAAAAGTGCTTAATAACAGTTACTTTATTATGTAGTAAAGTAAGTAAAGGATCATGGCCTATGCAGTTTGCTCTTTTTTAATACTTTTAAGTGAAAAACCTTGGTATTGTGAGAGAGACGATACGATATCTCGATATTTTGGTTATTGTTACATCCCTACTAGTTACTACTACTTAGGATAATTACTTTGAATTCAAGTCATTTTAACGCATTTTAATAATACTTTTTTCCATGCACAAACAATATTTCCAACAGTGCTACAAAATTAAGCAAATAATTGTTGGTCAAGTTTGAGTATGACAAATATATTTTAAATTCAACACTGCAAAAAAGTAATCTACACTAATTAGATTTTTTAATTTAAATTATTTACTTAAAGGTGCATTGTGTAACTTTTCTCCATTGAGATTCTTATTATAGCTTTGTCTGAAATGTTTCACAGTATGGCATTAAACCTATGGCTTTCTATCATCATGGAGACCAAACTAAGTCAAGTTACAGGTCAGATCTGTGGAGAGGCAACCCCACTCACAACCAGAAGCAGAATACTGTTTTTGTAGATATTTTTCAGCTATAAAAACACCTGTAATTGAATAAATGTAAAGCCATACTGTGGAACATTCCAACCAGAGAAATTACATGTACATAGAAACAAGCAAGTGATGGACCCCAATCCGAAAAGTTACATACTGCACCTTTAAATACATTATTTATCGACTTAATAGTATTAGATGCAATATTTGACTATTTACAGTTTTTTCTTTTTACTTTCTTAGCAAATATTCAAGCAGTGATGTCAGATATTGTAGATTTAAATCAAATTAAATATTCAGACACAGAGTTGATTTTTTTTTTACAGTGCGTTGTCATGGGAACAGCAAACTGCACAGGAGGAGATATCTCTGAAGAGGCGTGACCAGGGAATAACGCTCTTGCTCTCTTCACAGATATCTCCCAAGAAAGTGCGGCCGTCCGAAACGCCTTTGGTTAAAGTATGACTTCCTCTTCCCTTCTTCCCCTCCTCTCACATTCACTGCAAAAATACACCTCCGCACGAGTCAAAACGGCCTTAAAGCTGCACCGTGTAACTTTTTCTGGTCTCCGTGGAGATGTTGTTTCACAGTATGGCCTTAAGTGTATCTGTCTGTTTAGCTGTTATATAATTACAGGTGAGTTCATTGCTCACAAGTACATTGAGCATTCTTACTATTTGTGGGGGTCGCCTCTCCACAGATCTTACCAGTATACAAGCCAATCCACTTTATTTATACAGCACAATTCATGAACAAAAGTGTTTTCCAAAGTGCCTCACAATACAGATAAAAAATAAATAAATATGGTAACACTTTATTTTAAGGTGAACTTATTAACATCTAAATACCTGCTAATTAGCATAGTTGTAGATGGTTAATTCATCATTAATTAGTATTTATTCAGCCCTTATTAATGTCTAATTCCCCATAAGCTTATTCTGCTCTTAGTTAGACATTTACAAACACTTTCCTTTTAATACACTCCTTATTACTGCCTATTATTATTATTGCCTATTAGTTTGATACTAAGCCATTTTTGTCTGTTTTGTACAACCACCTATTCAGATATGAACTAGATGATGGCATGATTAGTCGACTAATCGATAATTGATCATTAAGAATTTTGTCGATTACGTTCATTTCTAATCGACAAACTGAATGTAGGTTTCTGTGCGTAGATACAAAGCGCAAACACTGGAGTTGCGGCCTCAGTCCCATGTTTGAGCTCTGGCTCCTTGGAGACACTGTACCACTCAGCGAGTGTGTTTACATCCACATCAGTGTCCCGATTTCGTCATGGTGCATGTAAACGCAGTATCCCAGTTACTGCAAAGAGCTGCACTAAACCTGCACATGTACGATCTTTAAAAACATTGCGACACACAGAACTGACTTACCGCCAGCATCAACATCCCTCTGTCACAGAACGAACACCTACAGTATATTCCACTGAATTGTGTCATTGAGTCAGACAGAAGCTGAACCGCATCAGCGCACAAGAGCGTGCTTTTTTTTCCACTTAGTTTATGCAAATGAGCCATGTGGTTTTAAGTTTAGTTTCTGTAAGACTTGCGCATAGCTGCATTAAACACATTATAATGTTAAACGGGCTGATGTGGTTCTAGAGTGGTCATGGTTTATATGTTGTAAAGTTGAGTTTATTTATGCAGATTAGTAATAGTAAAAAGGTTAAGGATTAATCAAAAATCGATCGGTAATTGTCCCGATGATCGATTAATAAAATTTCATCGAATGCCCATCCCTAATATGAACTATTAATACACATGTCATAATACATGAATTAAGTATGAAGCAGAGAGCACCATATTCTTTTTAATTTGTGTCAATCTAGGGATTTATTTCCTACGATCAACACATCACTTTAGAACGGGGAACATATTTAGAGCTTAATGACTTCATTCATGGCTAATTGGACTCTATTAACACCTAACAGAGAGTGTTTTATTACACAAGAGTAAGCAACATTTATTAAGTGCAAATAAGTAAAAGCTACATTTGTTGTGCTACTAGTCCTTAAAGGGACAGTCCGGAATTTTGGACATAGGACCTCATTTCCTAGTGAGCCAGAGTGTTGGAGACGTGTGGAGACACTTTTTAAAATATTCCATCCAATCCTTGTATTTGCAGAGGTCGCTGGTGCTAGACTAGTGCATGTCAATGGCCATAGTTATCCTGCCACTAAAAACAGTCTTACCCACTCCACAAAACACCTGAAACAAATCTGTTATTACACCAGACTGTCCATGTAAATGTCTGTGTTGATAGAATAATTTCAGAAGTAAAACCAACCTTGCGTTTGAAGGATTTATGTCTGAGCAGCAGCAGTGAGTTGTACTTAATGATAGAAAGCTCGGCAGCGGCGGATTGATATATGAGAAAATAGTCCCTCAACATGCGACGATTCATGCGATGCAAAGTTAGTTTTATTTCAAACATTATTCTATCGACACAGACATTTACATGGACAGTCTGGTGTAATAATAGTTTTGTTTCGGGTGTTTTGTGGAGTGGGTAAGACTGTTTTTAGTGGCAGGCTAACTATGGCCATTGACATGCACTAGCCTAGCACCAGCGACATCTGCAAATACAAGGACTGGATGGAATATTTCAAAAAGTGACTCCACACGTCTCCAACACTCTGACTCAAATCATAATTCATGGACACAAATGGCCTAGTATCAAACTAATAAGCAGTAATAATGAGTGTATTAATAGGAAAGTGTTTCTAAATGTCTAATTAACAGCAGAATAAACTTAGGGGGAATTAGACATTAATAAGGGCTGAATAAATACTAAATAATGACAAATTAACCATCTACAACTATGCTAATTAGGGAGCTAGATGTTAATAAGTGTACCCTAAAATAAAGTGTTACCAAAAATATTAAATAAAACTAGTAAAACACAATACAAAAACAAACTAGTCAAATCAAAGAAGAGCAAAAATACCAATGAATTTAAATTTTAAACTAAAAATTTAAATAAATAAAAGACATAGGATCACACAGTAACATTTATCACCATGGAGATGAGATAAGTTTAATGCCATGCTGTGGAACATTCTGAATAAAGCAATAACATAACCATACGGTGTACTTTCCACCAGAAAAGTTACGCAATGCAACTTTAAATTCAGAATACTACGCTGCTAAAATGACAAAGTTCATTAAGTTAAAAAAGCTTGAGTTGAGGAAAATTTGACGTAGAAAGTAGTTATTTGCTCTGAAAAATACAAATTTATTTATAAGTTTAGCAGGATCTTGTATGTATACGTTTTATTTTAACTAGAATCTGACAAATAATATTTCTAGACTGGTCAAATCTCCTCAAATCAAGTAAAAACATAATTTATTTTAAGCGTCATTTTTCCAGTGTACTTGGTTTGAGTATGTTTGTAATATTTATGAAGTAAATATTATCAAATCTTCTCAAATCACAGTTCTTCTGGATTTTCGTCTCTTTGCCTCGTGTGGGTGGATTTGTTGCGGTGCGTAGAGCTGTTTGTTCCATATCTCTGTCCAGGTGGAGCTATGGAGCCTCAAACAGAAGCATTGAAATATTCTAGAACATTACGTAGATCGACTTTAGTCTCATCTCCCCTGATCCATCGGCATGGCTCTCTCTGATTAGAACTACGGTAGCAGCATGACCCCCTCCTCTACATTTTTACTTCTCTCTCTTGCTCTTCTCTCCTCTTTTCTGCTTTTCTTTCTTGCTTTTTCTCGCCTCTCTGTCTCCTTTCTGCTCTTTTCTCTCGAGAATTTTCCGCTCTTTGCTTTTTTTTCCACTCTCTTCTCTCTATCAGCCTTCCTCTCTCCTGCTCTGCCCTCTCTCACCTCCTCTCATCCTCTTTCCTTACTATCCCGCTTCTCTCTCTCTCTCTGTTTCTCTTTCTCTTTCCTCACTTTCTTTCCCCCTTCCTCTCTCTTGCCCCACTTTTTCTTTCCCCACACTTTCTCTCTCTTCTCCCCCCGTCCTCTCCCTCTCCCCAGTTTCTCTCTCTCTCTCCGTCTTTTCTCTCTCTCCCCACTCTGTCTCCCCCTCCCTCTTTTCTCTTTCTCTCCATTCCTCTCTCTCCCTCTCCCCCTCTCTCTCTCTCTCTCTCCCCCTCTCTCTCTATCTCTCTCTCTCTCTCTCCCTCCCCTTCCTCTCTTTCTTTCCCCACTTTCTCTCTCCTCACTCTCCTTCTCCTTCCCTCTTTCTGTCTCTCTCCCTTCCTCTCTCTCTCCCTCCCTGCCTCTCTCTCTCTCTCTCCCTCTTTCTCTTTCTCTCCATTCCTCTCCTCTCCCTCTCCCCCTCCTCTCTCTCTCTCCCCCTTTCTCTCTCTCTCTCTCCTCACTCTCTCTCTCTCCCTTCTTTTTTCTCCCTCTCTCCCTTCCTCTCTCTCTCCCCACTCTCTCTCCCCCTGCCTCTTTCACTCTCTCTCCCCCTTCCTCTCTTTCTCTCTCTCTCTCTTCTCTCTCTCTCCGTCCCTCTTTCTCTCTCTCTCCCTCCCCTTCCTCTTTCTCTTTCCCCACTTTCTCTCTCCTCACTCTCCTTCTCCTTCCCTCTTTCTGCCTCTCTCCCTTCCTCTCCTCTCTCCCTCCCTGCCTCTTTCTCTCTCATCGCTTTTTCTCTCTTTCCCCCTTTCCTCTCTCTCTCCTGCCTTCCTCTCTCTTTTTTTTCACTCTTCCTCTCTCCCTCCTCTTTCTTTCTCCCCACTCTCTATCCTCCCCCTCTCTCCCTCTCAGTTTCCCCCTCTCCTCTCTTCCCCCTTCTCTCCTCCTCTCTCTCTCTCTCTCTGTGTGTCTCTGTCTCTCTGTAGCCCTGTAGCTGATAATGATAATAAGGATAATCTGAATGATGTAAATGGCAGGGCTGATGTGAAATTGCATGTTGCCATGACGCCCTGCTCCGAAGCCTCAGTGGAGAAAACTGAATTTTCAAACCCGTGCATGTTTTAGCTCAAGATTTTACACTTACTCTTGGTTTTGTGACCTTTTACCTTTTCTCCAAGAATCTGCAAGTCAATAAAGCAAACTCCAAGACCCAGTGGTACAGACGGAGCAGACAAACATGGACCAAGAGTAGAAATAGTAGAAATACTCTGTGTAATATCAGTTTAAATGTATGAAATTCTGGATTGTGGCGTGTCTAAACATCCAAATAAAGACAATCCAGCTAGTTTCACTTTCACTTTAACCCAAACTCACCTATGCCACTTGTGTCAGAACGCTTAAAGTAGCTCTCTGTGGTTACAGCGTTATAGAAACATTTTTTGGACTTTTATATTGAACATTTTTGCACTCTTGATACTTTGCTCTGGAGGTGTTTCTTCATGTTTATGTATTGGCAGAATGTTCATCAGTTACCATGGTGACACAAAGCACACGTGTGTCTGAAAACTCAAGAAAAATACAAAAGTGAGTCTGTGATCAATACGCGGAGTTTGATTTTCA